TAGCACTGGCGTCGCAATATATCGCGCTATTTAGCGGAGATATTGTGATTTCTCCGCTTCGATACCTTGCGGAATTTTTTTTTTCGTAGATAGCGATTCTGGAGCGGAGCGTTTCATAGCGCCGACTCCGCAACAACAGGAATTTGGTCCAATTTCCATAGCGTTTCGGAGCGGTTTGGGTGTTGCCTACTCAGAGTGCAAGACGCCCTGCTCAACCCAAACAGTTATTTTCTCAGGGTGTGGAAGGCACCAGCTTAACTAGATTTTGCAGCATCACAATCCAGGATCAAGCCCAGGAACAGATGGCAAAAGAAGGCGATGACAAGGTTAATGTTATGATCCTATAACATATGTAACGACGAGTGAAAGACGGGTTAGACATGTCACAGATAGAGATTGAGTCCCTAGTTGTACACATTGCTATTGTACAAGTTTCTCTTCTCTTTATCCGACAATCTACTTTATAGACTTGTCACCAGATCTTTGACCTTCGTCCCAGACCCCATTACTGGCCTTAACAGTTAACAAAACAATTTCCCTGGTTGTTTGGCCGGGTACAGAGGTCAGGCGTCATATAACGTTTCATTCATGGTGTCAAAGGACAAAAATGAACTAACACCACTCACACACTTTTGCAGCTTGACCAATACGCATGTAAAGTTTGGCGTGTACTCGCACCTCAATGGCCCAAATTTGCATTGGACCACTTGGCACAGCTCACGAAGGAGGTCAATAGTGTTCTTGGAGCGGATTTCAGTGATTGCTTGCAAGTGTGGAATGCAGATGAAAAACTCTGGGTATGTACATCCTACTCGTAAATATCTAATGAGTCCAACATAATCTAATTCAATAACGTTCATAATCGTCATTAATGAAAAGGTCCTGATGGAAATGAACATGTTGGAACAATACCATCAAGGCACGTGCAAAATATTGGTTGCCTTTCCAAACGTCAACACAACACAATGCAAAAACATGGACAACCATAGACTTGGGTTGGGTAAACGTAGCACCCAAGGTGAGGGGGGTAAGGTGGTGTGATGTTTGGGACTTGTACTTAGTGAGGACAGGCGGATTGTCCCTGAGCATTGTCACCATGGGGCCGGGCTTATAGGTTAAGTTAACAGCCCTTCTTTGCTTTTGAAGCACAGCCCTTCTTGGCTTTTGGAGTTGTCAAGTGAACTGAAGGTGGTCATTGGCATTGTCAATGAACTTTATTTTGTCATTCAAGTCTCTAAAACTGCTTATGCTTTGAGATAAACCAGGTTCAAACTCAGATTCAACATCACCAGGGGTTGGAGGTATATGCACCAAAATTTTCAAGTTGTTGGACCAAAGGTTAAATCTAGGCTTGGCTTGGGTTGGAGTACAAGGCCAAAGTATAAGACCAGATTGAGTAAACAGAGTAGCCGGAGGCGGAGAAAGTAATGGGATATGATCAGACATCTTGTGTTTTTGACAAAATAAAAACAGGAAGGAGGATCAAGAAATTAAATAAGTTTCAGACAAAAGGTTCAAATCTTTGAGCTACAGAGGGAAAAGGAAAATTCAAGAGGACTTGTGTATTTTATATAAATATCAAGATTCCTTGACAAAGGTCATAGATCTCATGATGTTTACCAAGACCCCAGAATTGTCTTGCCGACAAGAATATCAAAGGGGCATTTGATACAATCAGCAAGGATATAAAATCTTATCTGATCCTGAAAGTTTTGAAGCAAATTGACCCAAATTTCCACGTGGTTGATCTTGGTGATATCAACATTGACTGGAAAGGACTTGATCAAGAGGAAGTGAGAAGGTGGAGGTGTGATTGAAAGGAAGTGTGGTCATTCTGATATCTGTCAGAAGGTCAGTAAAATTCCATCTGGGCTGCTGCCAATCACTCTGAGACTCTGTTGCAGGGCAGTCTTTGTGAGCTACTCGCGTCTTTTGGGCTAGTAATTCACAAAACAAACGCTGGGATAATAAACTGATCTTATTATGCATGTCATGAGAGACTTATTTAAAGTTTGAAATAAGATTAATAAAGAAGCAGTGTGATAAAATCAGCACTTACTTCAGTTAGATGACCTCTCAACAGAGGCTTCTGGATACCAATCCAGTGGTTAAGGCAAGACAAGAGTCTTCTAGCCATGTAGGAATTGACCACTGGCACCCAGTGTTGTGCTCCAGATAACTGCACTCTACTCTAGAGTTGTTAAACAAGGGCAATATCACCTAGTGATATTTTGAAGTTCTTTAGACTCTGAACACAGACAGACTCCTGTGAGTTTAGAGTTTGTCCAGTTAGAGCATCCACAGTGCTGGGCTCCAAATTGGGGCTATCACCAAATTTGGTGACTGAGCCCCAATTTTTTGTTGCAATGCCGGTCCCCATTGCCAAATCATTTTGTAGCCGGCTTCAAATTTTGAGCTTTGGGCTACAAATTTGGCAACAAAAAGCCGGGCTGGAAATTCCCGCACTTGCTCAATCCCATACCTCACACATGTAAGCCCATGCACATCAATCTCAAAGTGTGTGTAAACACATAGAATGTACACTTTTGTAGCCCAAACGACTGCATCCGGATTGATTTGGGGCCCCACCAAATTTGAATTTGCTTGATTTGGAGCCCCGATTTGGAGCCCACCACTGTGGATGCTCTTATTGGATCCCTTTCAGAACTTAAGCAATACTTCTAGGATCACCCTCTGGCACCAATAAAGAAGTTTTCAAAAGGACTCTCCCAAAAAAACCAAGGTAGATCCATAAGAAAAATTTATAATGTCTAAATCTTGAGGACAAGAACTCTTATTTGTCTGATTTATAAAGTTGTTGATAATTTGCTTAGATGTAATGATGATGATGGACTTTTATGGCAGGTGGGAGAGCTCTTTATATACTCACATCCCAGAAAAATCTCTCTCACACAACTTGTGGTTTGATTACATACACATTTGGTGTATGTAATCTTGATTTAATATTTAGACATTTTAGCTTGTTACACGTGTGCGTGACTCTTGTGTTACTCACATGATGGGCCTTGTGAAAGGTTATTTTGCTAATTGTAACCACTTGGATAGATTTACATGTTTGTACATATGTAATTACATATGGAACTATATGTAATTATATATGTAATTGACTCTTGAAACTGAGCAACAAGTTGTAAGTATCATTTTTATTATTTTGTTATTGTATTTCAGCTCTTTGGTACTAGTAATAGGGCTTGGGGCTGAAAGTCTTGACAATTGCCCAGCAACATAGGCACTCCACTACATGAAGATTTGATATAGGGCTTCACAGGTAGTGTCTTTCCTTCTTCTCTTAATGTTCTCCTTTCCTGATTTCCTTCCTCTACTTGCTACTTCTCTCTTCTCACTCATAAATAATAAAAATCACTGTAAAGATCATACATTTAACCCAAGTGGGAATGGAAAAATGATGAAGAGTATAGTTTGTCATTAAAGGATCTATCACTGCACATCTGAATCATAACACCCACACACACTACATATGTTCAGCAGGCTGGGTGAATGGGTGGCTATCATGTACATACAGGTCTTCTCATTTATCTTCTTGTATAAATTAGTAAATCACATGTGATACATCATGGAACTTTTTCACTGTGACAGAATTGTCCCAAAAACTGATTACATACATACACTTCCATAGCTATGCAGGCAATACTCTTGAAGCCAATTGTCAGTAACAGAAAGGGTGTTACATGAAGTTTGATTGACAAAATCACACCAAAACCTTGAGTGAGTGTATGTAGTCAATTTTTGACATGATTTTCTTAAGCTGAAAAAAAGTTACAGCATGTATATTACCCATGATTCAATTATCCAGATGAGCCCATAGCTGAGCAGATCTGTATGTACATGATAGCCACCTACTTACTCAGCCTGCTGCACATATGTAGTGTGTGTGTGGATGGTATGGCTCAGGTGTGCAGTGATAGATTTGAAAGTGGGTGTAAGGGTGTTTTTTAGTGGTGTGAATTTACATTTTATTGTTTGTTCTGTAAAGTGAACAAAAGAGACGAAAAGATTTGATGTTTGAGTATGAAGTTTGAATTTTAAGGTGAAAAATGAAGCAGCAATAGCCATCAGAATAAGAATAAGAAGGATTTGAGAAGATTGGGGTAAGCAGTTGAAACCTAAGCTTGGATAAGTAAAATGAACTAACCCGATTCGAAAGTTACATCAGCAAGAAATGATTATTGCAAGATGAAAGAAAATTTAAAGATTAAAGTCAACTTGAACTTCATTCATCATCATCATCAAACAACAAAAACAACAAATCAAGAATCAGAATCAGAATCAGAAGAAGATATCTTCATTAATCGATCAGAATGGAACTCATTAAATTCAAATCTAAACTCGATCGATCCAATCCTAATCTCAATCTCATCATCTTCATCATCATCATCATCAAAACCATTAATCATTAAAGCTAAACTAGATTCAAATTCAACCAATACTCCAACAACAAGTAAGTCATCAAACTAAACCAAACTAACTCATACTAAGAAACTCAAACTAACTCATGAATCCTTACTGATTCCTTAGGATCTCATTTGATTTATGATCATCTCTTCATTCATCAAGAACCTTCCGTTCCAATCCAAATCTCACCAATCCATCAACTTATCAATCTAAATCAAATTTACTTACGATCCATCAATCAAATCTCTTATCAATATGCTAAATCAAACCCATCTGAATTCCGTCATCAACTCTCAACCAAGATCATTCGTCAATCTCATCACATTCATCTTTTAAAGAGTTATTCTTATCAGGTCATTCTGACCGATCCGGTCATCCAAGGTGGATTCGATTTACATTCAACTTCTCTTACTTTACTTTCACCTTCACCTTCACCTTCACCTTCTCATTCTCAATCAAATCATTCATTCATTCAAACCGATCAGATTCAAATCCAATCAGATCAAGAAGATGACATCGAAATCGAACCTGACTTTCTGGCTCATTCTGCTCTACGAGTACCCTTGATGCTCACTACATCTTTAACCACTTCAACTCCACCACTCTTACTTAAACCAATTCCATCTTATCATCATCTTTCATCAGATAATATCCTTCAAGCTTTTGTTCGTACCAACACCTTGGCTCAACTTGGAGTATGTAAAAATGATTGGGTTTTACTTTATTCGACTTCAAATCAAGAACCTATCAGATTAATCAAACTCTCAGTTCCTTCAAACCCATCCAGGCTTTTATCAGATCAAATCTTGATCTCTCCAATCTTGTTGAACCAATCCTTCAATTCAACTCAACTTAAAATCTCACCGGCTCGATCTCACTTGAACCTTCCACCACGCTTTCCTACTCTAAGATCCGTGACTTTGGCTCGCATTGCTTCTCCTCAAGTTGGACTTAAACAATTACAACTTGTCTTTTTACATTCACTTTCGGATTATTTTAAATCTCATGATAGGATTATTAAATTACATGATCTCATTCCGATTCCTCTGGATACTCGTTTGTCTCATTTTCTTCCTTTGAACAGTACTACAAATGATGAACTAGGATTGATGGAGAATCCTAATCTTTTAGACATCGAGTTGGTTTATCTCTTGATGTTTTTTTTCCTTAGAATCATTACCAAACTGATTTTTTTTTTGTTAATTTGTTTTTTCAAGTCTAGATCTTGGTCCACCTCAAACGATAATTTATTTCAAAGTGACCCATTTAGAATGTTTTCCTACTTCAATCCCACCAGTTTTTAAATCTAGTGATCCAAAAGATTTTAATAAGTTAAATCTTAAAGAAGAAGTCACGAATCCGATTGAAGAAGTAGAAGAAGATCCAGAGATGAGTGACTTACTTGAAAAAGCAAAACTAGGTGCGATTCTAGATCCTAATTTAACTAAACTCGTGCAAACTGGAGTAGAACAAAGTTATGTTCCTAATTTAGCTTCGTCACTTGGTTTACGTAAGTGATTCATCCATTGGTTCCCTATATGAAATCATGAACTAAGACTTTTTAGTTTTCTTTGATTGAAAATCCAATGGATTTTTGGCATATTCGTTTAGGTGGATTACCTCCATTCGATCCTTTGAATCTGGATGATGAACCTACTAGAAAGTTATACGAAATCTTACGATCAAGTTCACAAGCTGATGCAACCCAATATGATTTACCATCAACCATCTTGATTAATGGTCAGAGAGGAGTCGGCAAACGAAGATTGGTTTCACAAGTCACCTCTGCCTTAGGTTATCATTTAGCAGACCTTAGTACGTTTTCGATTATCGGCGAAACAGAGATCAAAACATCAGCTTTATTAGAATCTTGGATCGAAAGAGTCACTTTGGCTGGACCATGTGTCTTGTTCTTAAGACAGATTGAAGGGATTGCAAGAAAGATTCAAAGTATCGAAACAGGTGGTCGAGAACCTTCGTTAGTGAGGATCTTGGATGAAGCATTAAAAGGATTGAAAGAGAAAAAACCCAAGTTTCCGGTGATCTTGATTGGTAGTACATCTGAACTTGATCAAATCTCAATGGGATTATTGAATTTGTTTAAATTAAAACTGAATGTTTTAGCACCTAATGAACATCAGCGGATTCGAATTTTAAAAACTTTAACTGAAAGAGATTTGATTTCAATAGATGTGAATTTTGATTTATTAGGTAGAGAAACCAGTTCATTGGTTGCGAAAGATTTAGTTACACTTGTAAGTAAGACTCGATATAATGGAATGAAACGAACGATCTTACAACGAAAAGTTTTAATGGAAGATCTCAAAGGGTCAGGAGGGATTCAATTAAATCAAGAGGATTTTGTAAACTCATTAAAAGAGATTCGAAAAGGATATTCCGATCGGATTGGAGCTCCAAAGATTCCAAATGTGAGATGGGAAGATATTGGAGGATTAAAAGAAGTGAAATCGGTGATTTTAGAAACCTTAAGTTTACCATTAAACCGACCTGAATTATTTGCAAATGGATTGAAAAAACGATCTGGAATCTTATTATTCGGACCACCTGGAACAGGTAAAACATTGATTGCCAAAGCGGTAGCTACAAGTATTGGAATGAATTTTATGAGTGTCAAAGGACCTGAATTGTTAGATCAATATATTGGAGAATCTGAATCGAAAGTTAGAAAGGTGTTTGAGAAAGCAAAAGAATGTAAACCGAGTGTGATCTTTTTTGATGAGTTGGATTCATTGGCTCCTAGAAGAGGTAATCAAGGTGATAGTGGTGGAGTGATGGATCGGATCGTGAGTCAATTATTAGCTGAATTAGATTCGATTTCGAACGTCAATAGTACAGAAGAAAAAAATCGAGACGGAGGTGGTGGTGGAGGAGGAGAAGTGTTTGTGATTGGAGCGACTAATCGACCTGATTTACTGGATCCGGCTTTACTTAGACCTGGTCGATTTGAGAAATTGGTTTATCTAGGAGGCATCGAAACGGATGAGAATCGATTAGAAGTGATTAAAGCCTTAACACGTAAGATGAAATTAGATGAAGATGTAAGATTAGAAGAGGTAGTGAAAAGATTAAATCGTCGGTGTCAAGTTGGAAATGGAAAGATGATTGTCACTGGAGCTGATCTTTATTCGATTTGTTCGGATGGAATGATGAGATCGATGAGAAGGATTACGAATGAGATTGAAGTGAATCGAAAGAGAAGAGGATCGGATGAAGAACTTGAAGGGGTTCAAGAGGTTTTGATCAAACAAGAAGATTTCATTGGAGCTATTGAGGATTGGAAGAGTAGTGTTAGTGAGAATGAAATGAAACATTATAAGGCGGCTCAATTGAAGTTTACTAAAGAAGGAAACTTGTTAACTGGAATGGATCAGGATGAGAAACATGAAGAAGAAGGAATGGGTAAAGAAGGAAATGGGAATGGAGGAGATGTGAATGGAGAGTTTGAGCATGAAGGCAAGGGGAAGGGGAAGGGGAAACAAAAAGAATTTGAGAATGGGAATGGGAATGGGAAAGAGAATGGGAAAGAGATGGAGAATGGAAAAGGTAAAGGTAAAGGTAAACAAAAGATGATTTGATTAGAAACTCAAAATTAAATTTATGTGTATGTGTATGTTTATAAAAAGTTCAGATTGAGGTGTTTTTATTTTATTTTGATGTAATATAGGGTATATAAAGTAATAAATTATGAATATTTTTGATTGACAAACTGAAAATGAAACATTAAAAGTTTATACAGGTGTTTGAGAGTGGGGTTTACTTTTTTTTTGGTTTGGATGAAATTCAATTGAAAGGATGATTTGAGTGGAAAAGGATTTACAAAGAACATCAATGATGTATGATGTATGGATAATTTTGATTTGGTAGAAAAAGAAATGTGGGATGAAAAGAGAGTGGTTTGAAAGATAAAGATGTGTGTTGAAGTGATGTCTAATTAAAGCTTTAAGAATATTTTTTTGGAAGTCTTGTTTGAAAGAAACAAACTTCAAATAATAAATCTCATTAAATCTAATCTGATCTTCACAATAACCTAAAAATTATTCTTTATTTTACTGATGATGAAGAAGAAGAAGATTCAGAAGGAATGCATATGAGATGCTTTGTCTTCTGGGATCACAATTGATTTGGGTGACACGTTGGGGTTGTGTGGTGGTGCTTCAGCCGCTATACGTGCAGCACACTGTGGGTGGAAGGGCGAGTGCAGCAGGTTCTGGTCATCTGCGTTGAACAAACGTTTGGCCGTTGTGGAGGGGTCTAGCTTGATCAGACCTCTCACACACGCGGTGCACTTCATTGGGATGGTGCCTTTTTTGCTGCACACATGAGCATGGTGTTCTTTGCCACAGTATGGGCACATGGCTTGGTCTGGGCAAGACGGTGCTGTATGACCTGTCTTCCTACAGTTGTAGCATCTTTTGGGCGGTTCCCTACCAGTTTTGGTTTTGTGGAGCCCGGGTCCAAACCAGATTTTTTCCTTGACACATTTGTCAGCCTGTGCTTGGTTGTTAAGACCAATCAGCAGCGTGGAATACCGCTTGGATGGATTGTCTTTCAGTTTGGGATTGAGCCATCTGATGAAGCTCACGCCTTGGAGCAGCTCGGGATTGAAAGCAAGTAGCTCCTCCTTGTGGTTGTAGACCTCAGGGTCAAAGGTGGTTGGGATTGCGTGAACCAGGATGGTGAAATGCTCCGGCTTCACTTGTAAGTTTGTTGAAATGCCTGGAAGCCATGTCTGTTCAGATTCTTTGACTTTCTCGGCATGGCTAGCCGTTTCAAAATGCAGGACCATATCATTTGATGGCTGCTGTTGTACTTTTTTCACAGTCACAGTTGCCTCGGACAAATCAGTAGCCTTTATCTTGTGTGTTTTGAAAGCTGAGTTAAATCCCTGAATTAACTGGGTGACCAACAGTCCTCCTAATGCAACAGAAGACTTGTCTGTCTGTGTGAGGGTGATAGTGTTAGCCATCCATTTTTGAGAAGCAGGCTTAGGGTTAGCCTTCCTGACCGGACTAGGGCCCAAGGGGGTTGCCTTTGGTGTGCTATCAGCGGTCCTTGAGGCTGCAGCTGCATAGGAACTAGTAGTGCTTTTGTTGGTCAACTGGGTGGTCTTTTTGGAGTTTTGTTGTGTGGTGAGGAGGGCTAGTTGCTCAGCGAGAATGTCAAGCTTTTCGCTGATTGCGCTAGCTTGGAAATCAAACACCGGTGTAGGGCCTAGTGGTGGGTTCAGCAACAGCGCCACCGCTCTTGTGGAGCTTGCTAGGGCAGATGCCGGTTTACAGAAGAGTTGTCTTTTGGACTTCTCCATCTTGTGTTGGTCAAAGGTTGCGTTGATCAAGACGAGGAGATCTGCTGCTGATTCAGTGTTGATTGTCACTTTCTTGCCAATCCGTCCTTTGGCTGGTAGTTGTATAATGTCGTGGGCAACTGCTACCAACTTTGCCAACATGACGGTTAGGGATTGGTTGTCTTCGTTGCATGGGATCAGGCGTGTCATCCTCTTGGATCGAGGTGTCCCGGTTACGTTTTGGATGTGTTCCTGCGCTGTGAGGCCTGGTGTGCTTGCTCGAGCTCTCTTCCTGGAGTACTTGACAAGCAGCGGGACTTTGTTTTGTTTTGGTGTGACACCTAGCGTGTCTGACATGATTTTGATCTGTGGTAGTCCTTGGTCCAAGCCCTTGAGGAATGCCACGATCACGTCGCTGTTATGGGAAGACGTGTTTGGATCTGTCCAATTGTCCACCATGTTGTTGTTGTGGTTGTCCTTGACCATTTGACCTGTGTAGGTTGTCTTGGGGGGCATTTGACGCGAGTCCTTAAGGAGAAAAGTTATTTGAGGGAGGGGAAAAAAGTTACACTACAAGAAACATGACATTTTCTGGGCAGAAAATTAAATTATCTGTATACAAAAATCTGGAAAGGTCAGAAACAGAGCAAAAAATATGAAAAAATATGCATCCTGTTCCTTGGTTTGAGATCTCCAATCTGCATATTTTTTTGTATTTTTGGGGTTCATATTGGTGAGTGTACTAACAATAAACCCTCATAATCATCACATTACCACCTGTAACAGATGCTGGAATTTGGCTGATCAGTGCTGAGAGAAAATTTTGATTACTACAAAACCCCATAACTTTGTCAATTATGGCTCAAAACACTTGATTTTGAGTGCATCGGAAAGCTGGTATTTGCTTGAAGATAGTTCATAAATGAAGCAAATACGTGGCAGGCCTGCAAAGAAAGATATCCCCAATGAAATTGAATTTCACATATCATCAAATAGAATGTCAGTCATTCGGATTACACATTTTGTGTCACAACAAAAGTTGTAATTCAGGAATTCAGCTTTCTATAAAATACCTGATCAGCCATGGAGTACAATTGGCATAGACTTTATTGTAAAGTTGCCTATCTCTTCAGGTTGTGATTCCATACTTGTTATAACTGATCATTTTTCAAAAGGGGCTCACTTCATTCCTTGTAAGGAATTGATGTTGGAACCTCAGTTGGCTGCTCTTTTTGTGTCTCAATTTTTTTGCTATCATGGTTATCCGGACAAGATTGTCTCAGATTGTGGTTCTACTTTTGTCTCTGCATTTTGGACAGCTGTTCAAAGGCAATTACGTATTCAACCTGCACCATCAATGGCTTTCCATCCGCAGACAAATGGTCAGACTGAACAAACAAATCAAACACTAGAGTCCTATTTAAGGCATTTCATCAGCTATAGACAGGATGACTGGGTTGATCTTTTACCAATGGCGGAATTTTGTTTCAATAATACTACTTCTTCTTCTACCAATTTGACTCCTTTCTTTGCTTGGCAAGGTTTTCATCCAAGAGCTAACAGTTCTACAGAGTTTTCCAGAGTACCGCATGCTGATAAATTTGTTGAACAGTTAGAGGCTACACAACTGAATCTTTTAATTTTGTTAAAACAGGCAAAGCAAGCTCAGGCAGAAGCATATAATAAACATCAAAGACCTGCTCCAACTTATTCTGTAGGAAATCTAGTTTGGTTATCAAGACAAAACATTACTACGGCAAGGCCGTCTTCCAAATTAGATTTCAAGAAAATCAGGCCGTTTCCAGTGGTAGAGATGATAGGTTGGAATGCAGTCAAATTAGATTTGGGAAGTGCTTATTCAAGGCTTCATCCAGTGTTCAATATTTCTCTCATTTCCCCATATGTTTCACCTTCTGTAGGAGGCAGGCCAGATACAATCCAAATACAAGAAAAACCAATTTTGAAGTCACATGATTGGAGACATGTCTCAGGCATTTTAGACTATAGGAAGAGGGGAAGAGCGCAGCCAGAATACCTTTTGCAATGGTTAGGAAGACCTGTGTCAGATGATACTTGGGTTTCTTTACCAGATATTTCTTCAGATCTTGATTTATTTCTTTTAAATTTTCATGCCAAATACACGCAATATCAAGTACCACCTTTGTTGTTAGATTCACGTTTTTCTATGGGAAATTTCTTAGGGTAGACGGTGATTATTATTGTAACAATTTCAAATTATGTAAAAAGAATTATAAAATACTTTTCAAATATGTATAAAGATAAAACTAGACTACGGATTAAGATAGAGAAATTAGATTGTTGAGAAACAAGTCGTTAGAAACAAATTGGAATTATGTTGTTAAGGAAAAGATGTTGGATATCAGAATATGTATATATAGTGTAAAGTTTAGGGCTGTGACCCGGACCTGTGAACTCGTGGCCGGCCCCAGGGCCGGATTTGGCCTCGGGTAAATCCAAGGACCTTGAAAAAACTCACATGGCCAAGCAGGGCATGCCCTGAAAGCCTGGCCACGGGGCCAAGCAGAGCTAGGCTCACTTGTAGGGGCGAGAGAGTCAGAGACTCAAAGTTAAACAGGGGATAAACTTCTGACATTTCCAAAATACTAAATACTTGTATGAGCGCTTAATCTGTTGAAGACCAGGATTACAAGATAAAACAAATTTGAGAGGCTACTTGGATAGATAACAAAATTAAACAGCATTGAGCGCCTCATGAGATAATAAGAAACTTTGCCTTTACTATAAATTCTAACATATTTATTCAGGAGCCTACTTATTGATCAAAAAGAAAACAAACAGCTACTTTGTTAATTATAATAATACCTTATTCCAGCTTTTGAGACAGACTTGGGCCTCAAGATTAATAGGAGTGAAAGAAGCTCTGTGATTGCTCATAACTCTCAATGTGTTAGAAAAGGAGCTCTCAGAAGGCGCACTTGTGGCAGGTACCGCAAGCATTGCCTTTGCCATTTGAGCAAGGTTTCGCCAGTGACGTTTGTGAGTTTGCCAATAGACAAGAGGGTTGCATACCTCATCCTCTTGAGGTGCGGTGAGATACTCATTGACCTCGTGCTCAATGGGAACCGTCTTGCAATGTTTAATGAAATGTTGAGGACGATCAACGGTCAAGGTTTCTTGAGCTTTGACAATTTCAATGTCGGGGTCGTAAGCTGGTCTGAATCTGCTGGTGTGATCAGTGAAATATTGAATTAAATCTTCAAGCCCTCAACCGAGGGATCCCATAGTCTGAGCTTTGAGGGCCAAAAGTCCAAGACGGGGATTGAGAATTGCTGAGCATATGTAGACTGCCTTCTTCTGGGCAGCCTCCTGGTATTGAATAATTTTCTTGACCATAGGCATGATCACAGCTTTGAGCTCCTGGCATTTTGAATCAACCCAGGCCTAGTAGAGATCAAAGTTGCATTAGTAATTTATAAAAGAAATAAATGAAAAGAAAAAGTCTTGAAAAACTTACTTTTTCAAGACGCAGCAGCAAGAGGTGATAAAAATTGGACTAGGTTTTCAACCAAAGTCCACTCATCGTGATTGGGTTTGAAGGGCTCAAGTGTGGGGTTACAATTGAACTGATACTCTAAGAAAACTCTAAGGTGAATGAATCTTGCGAGTGAAGCGTGGGTTGACAACCATCAAGTTGAAACCTCATGAACTAAGCCTACTTTCTGTTCCAGAACAGCACAACTCGCAATTGCATTGTCAAGTGAGGTTTTCAACTGACTACTATGCTTGATTTTCTTGTTAAAGCCACAGATTTGAGTAAGTGCACTTCCAACCTCAGAAGTGGAGGTTGGTTTGATAAACAGAGGAACTGAGGAATGACTTTGGGGTATGGCAGGGTCAAGAGCGTTCATTGGTAGAGAATGAGATGGATCCTTTTGATCAAAAACAGAAAGTCCAGCCTTTGCCACAAGGTTGATGGCATGGGCAACACACCCATGTAGATTTTGGGAAGCGTCAAACTGGGGAATTGAGGTTGCAAGGGCTTGACCCATAGTGGTGTTGTTTGATGTGTTATTGGCAGTAATGCAATACAATCGCTTGGAGAGGTGAAAAGAGTCAAGGATTTGCTTGAGAAGTGAAGCCAAGTTAGAGCCAGTGTGAGGGCCTTTGAACGGCTTCAAAGCCAGAGTAATACCGCGGAGCTGATAGTTGTCAGAGATCCAGTGTGCCGTCACACCAAGCATCGCAAGGTTGGTGGGAGATTTCCATCTGTCACATGTGATACTCACATGGCCGATGGAAGAGAGGAGGTTCATGATGGCAGATTATTTGGCTTGGAAAGTGTCCAATATGCCATCTGATATGGCAGTGCGTTTTGATAATACAGCTAATCCGCGGGGTTGATCATGTTTATGATCTCACAGAACTCCTGACCGTTGACAAAGGAGACTGGTACCTCTCGGTTGACAACGAGGCGGATCAAGGCATCCTTTAGGTTGGCTCTATTGAGAGGTCTGACCTGAAGGAAGTAGAATAAGAAAAAAACAAATCAAAAAATGGGAAACATGAGAAATAAAAAGAAAGGATCACTTAAGAAAGAGAAATGACAACTTGAAAAAGAAAAATGAAAAGTGAAAATTTACTTACTTGAACAGCTTCACCATTGATATAGAAGGCCGAAACAGTGGGTTGATTGGTTTGAACAGGAGGTTTGATATGATGTGCTCGGGAGAGATGTCGGCTCATCAATTTGGTGCTGCCGTTCTTGTCAACAGCCAGAGGTTTGTTGCATATGGCAGTCGGCATCTTGGAGATGTTAGTCGTAGAGTCAATGAAACCCTCTTGGGCTTGGCAGACATTCTTGAGGACGCCGTTGACTTCTTCAGTGACGAAGCACTGCCACACCCAAGATGAACGGGCGGTGGTAGTGGTATCAGAGGTGATTTTGGAGATTGAATCGGATGGAGCTAAGCTTGATGTTGATGTCATTGAGCGCTGTAATGTTGGAGCAGCAGATGACCTGGTCACGGGGTTTAGCATGTGATTAGTAATATAAGGTTGTGAATAGATAATCTGCAATATTGGGAAAATCATGAGATTCCTCAGAAAAACCGTGATTCAGGCTTTTAAGAGGTTGGCTACCCGGATCGGGCAGCTATGTTAGGTTTGAGTGCCACAGGGTGCGTACCAGAGAAAAGCTACATACCGTTGTAAGCCGTTATATATATATATATATACTCCGCATCAAACACTAACTTTGAACCCAGCTTTTGACAGGCATCCATGATGCTAAAACCAAAGAGGTTGTTGATTGTGCAGTGCCATTGATCAAAAATATGGTGCAACGGGTAGGCCACTAGATCTACTTCTACCCCATTGTAGAAGTCGAGCTCTCAATAATTTCTCCATTGTCACACCACAGGTTGCCGTTAGATGTGGTATTGCCGGTGAGAAGGCTGAACCCAAAGCCGTGTGGGCAGCCACCGATTTACCCACTCGTGCATGTATTGCTTATCTCGTAAGTCTTTTTTTTAAATACGTTTCTGTACTACTCTTGCTCATGCTTGGTTGTCTGGCTCAGCGTCAAGAAGCAGCGCGGCTGGTGCTCAAAGGTTGTCAAGGATGCAAATCAATATGGGCCGCAGTGGATAAACAACTCTCTCAGTTGCGATTGAGGCGGGACAAGGACTATACTACGGCGTAAGCCGAAACATATGGATATGTTTGTGTTGGCCCAATGCTTTTGTATGCTGACATTCATTCCATCGCAGCTTCTACCAAATCATTTATGACAAAGATAAAGTATTATTCCCAGGGGAAGTTTGGTTCAAAACCCTGAAAGCGCGCAAACCCAAAGTTAAGTTGGACATGCCTTCCGACGAGGCAATCATGGCGCAGATTCCTCGAGGGGCGGGCAATGGAGGGACACCTCCATCCAACCTCAATCCACAACCCAATTAAAAAAACAAAACCATTGAGCATATTAGAAATCAACTTTTATTATGTCATATTCACACATATATTATTATTAGTACAAGATGTTTGGCTGGAAATGTGTGCTGCTGCGTTATTTAGCTTGATGAAATGAAATGTGTGATTGAATTGTGCAATACCTGTTCCTGCGATGTGAGAAGAGCTGAGCTAGTGAGCTGGTGATCTGGTCTGAGCTACCCGGCCCACCCAAGTCCCCCCATCCAATATCCGTAACCTGGATTGCCTCGGGGAAGCAAGCCCGATGCGCAAATACCCCGTGCAGGGGTCTCCGCCCCACACCCAGCTGACCGTCTGAGGGCAGGCTGCAGCAGGCCTGCAGCTGGGTCATGGGCTCCTGCACGCGCCTGCTGGGCTCGCCCGCAGGCGGTCAGGAGCCGGCTGCCTGTCTTGGGGCGATTTGCAGATCGCCAGCAGGCGCTAACTAGGCCAGCTGCAGGCGGCCTGAGCTGGCGCCTGGCAGTCGCCTTCCGTGAGGCCCACATGGAGAAAGCCTGCCCCTCTGCAAAGGTTGGCCGTCTCCCGCCGGCCTGGCCAGCCCGTCTGTAGACGGCGAGACACCTCTGTGGTGTAAACAGTGTGATCTAAAATGTTTTCCTTATCTAGTTGTTGGCAACTGGTTATTAACGTATGGGAATGTGAATGTAATTCGGGCGGTACATTCTGAGTGTAATAATACTAACGGGTCGGATTCTTTGTTTGTCTTATAGCACCACAGCTTATGATGTCATAGCTGTTTACTGCCTTATCGAATTTCATTGATATCCATTCCCATAGTGTTTACTTTCGTATTCTCCGTCAATTATCTTTCCTCTTTGGTTATTTTTCAAGCCCACCCTCCCTTTCAGTCCCTGTTTTATTTTTATTGCTTTTTTCATTGTTGATAAAAGAAGAAGAAGAAAGAGTAGTAGCAGTATATATTGTTTTTGAAAAATAGGTGTCAAGTTCTCTATTTTTTTGAGTCTTATATTTTTTATATGTACTGCTGAGTTCTTCTTCTTTCAGAAGTTTTGTTATTGTCAGTTTTATTGTTATGTTTCATCTTTTTTGTGTGTGTAGCTGTGTTTTTTTTCTCAGAAGTCATGTTATCATTAGTGTGTGTTAGGACCGCTAGCCTCCCCGTAGGGTGTGCTTTATATTTCTTTTTAGCAATTTATTCACCCTCGGCAATCTGCCTTGGGTTTCGCCCAAACCAATGCCTGCTTTAGTATTTTTTAATACTAAGTTTTGTGAGTTTAATACGTTCACATTTCGAATTATTAACATATTTTTGTCTCCTTTTAAATCTGAGTAAAACCTCGATTAAGAGTTATGCTCTTCGAGATCCTAGACCAAGGCCCTTCTTACACCTGGCCATGGCTTCGGATTCTCTGTTGCTGTGAAGCCCCTTTCAGTTCGCCGTTCTTATCTCCAGACTCCAGGTGATGATATCATTGCAAGATTTGACACGATTTCAAATTACAACATACCAAGGCTTTTGCTGTGATCTTAAAATTGAGAATCACAACTTGACATGGATACATTGATCGATGAAGCTAGTCACGTGAATTGAAAACTTTCTACATGATGAAATTCTCTTGGCACTTCTTCTTGGCACTCTCACTGAGATTGTACTCTTTGGATCCTCAAGATGGATCAAGGTTCTCTGGTTGGTTCTTCCAATTTTTGTGTAAAAGGATGAAAGTGATGAGGATTATGATTGATTTGGATGAATGTTTCGAAGGACAAGAAGGTCAGGATGAAAATGATGAGTTGATGTGCTGGTAATCATGAGTCGTAGGAATATGATACACAAGTGATTCTTGGTTGTCTTTGTTCATTTTGAAATAGATTAACGTTTGAAAAAGATGACTTGAATGAGAAGTGTGGCAGTGTCGAGATAGATAGTGATAATAGAGAAGAAACTAGTTTGGTTGATAAGGTGTTATCAGTCTGGTCGAAAGGGAAAAAAGATATAAAACTCTCGACTCATCAAATCGAACCACTTTTAAGATTTCTTTTGATTTCTTAAGATCGAGATCATTTTGATTATTTAGATTAAACACACAGACAAAAGGTCTGATCCATCTATCAAGAACTCTGATGATATTTTGAAGCAAGCTCTGGAATTAGAAAATAAATCAATAAAAGGTAGGTTTGTAAATTCACTGGATATTTTGTTAGGGTGGATTTGATTGGAAAACTAATTTTTAATTTTCTATCCTTCACAACTGATCAGAAACCAGCCGCGATCTACTACTTCCCAATCAACCAGCCAATCAAAATCACAATCAACACTCAGCACTCAATCTCTCAGCTTTTCTCAATCAGAATACATATTTAAAAGATAATCTTACCAATCTAAACAAACCAACTTCATCCCAATCAACTCATTCAGCTTATCAACATTCCAAATCATCTAATCATCACTAAAACCGATCCATCTGTTTCTCCAAACTTCAAGAATGTCACAACGTAAGTCAGATTCATCCATTTCGATTTCTTGGTTTTGAAAACTGAATCCTGGTTACTTATTTTGAATTGATGCTTTATAGAAAAACCTTCGCTTCGTATTCATTCAGTTGATAATGAAACTACTCCATTAATTCAAGATCTCGAATCTAGTAGACCTGATCATAACAGATCTGATAGTGGTTATGCTCTTCATGTTTGTGATTTCTTTCTTTAAATAAATCAGTTTCTACTTTTTGCAATTTCTTTTAGCAGCTTTCAGTTTTGTTTCATTCTATATTTCAAAGTTCAAGTCAGAAGAGTTGATGATCAGTACATATTGATATGAAACCTTTTCTTGAAAGGTGAATCATATCATATCAAAACATCTTTCTTCATGACCTTGAAAGACTTTAATCGTTTTTCCATTTCTTTTGGATCGATCGAGTTCAATCGGCTAATCAGAAACCCTCGATCGACTTTCCTTTTCTAACTCTCTCTCTCCCCATCACTTTCAGATTCCAAACTCATTTCATCCCCCTTCACCTTCCTCATCCCCTGGCGACGCTCGCAAGCTCTTCTTTGGCGTGAGCATCTCAATATCCTATCAGTTTGATTTCCAGCTTCAAATTCGATCAACTTTCACAAGCCATATTCTTGTCCTCTTCAAAACTATCATCCGTCTTTCCTCTTTGATTCCTTCCTTGACCACACCATCAATTTGATCAACACACTGACTTGACTCTTGTTTTATCCTTCCAGCCTAGCACACCAACCAATGCAGAATCCTTTAAACACTTTTTCTTCTCATCTTACCTCAACTTACTCCTTGTGGCTGTCCCCTTATCTTTTTTATCTCATTTCTTAAAATGGGGTTCAACATCCGATTTTATCATCTCTTTCATCGCTATCATCCCTCTGGCAAGCTTATTGGGTGATGCAACCGAACAAGTAGCTCTCAAAGTGGGCTCAACCCTTGGTGGTTTAATGAACGCTACCTTTGGAAACGCAGTTGAAGCAATTGTCAGTCTGATCATCTCAATCACTTCAGCACTTACAAGGCTCTGAAACCGTTTTGTTTTTTCGAAAAACTACAGGTTGGAATCGTAGCCCTACAACAAAACCAATTAAGAATCGTTCAAACTTCAATGTTAGGATCAATCTTATCCAACATTTTATTAGTCTTAGGTTGTTCATTCATCGGGGCTGGTTTCAAATTCAAAGAATCTCGTTTCCAAGCAACTGCCGCACAAGCTTCAGCCTCCTTGATGTTATTAGCTTGTATTGCTCTCGTCATCCCTGCTGCTTACTACACCACTACTGTTGATCGCTTAACGGGTCCTGGAAAAGATCTTACGGCTACTTTGCCTCATGATGCTGCCCAGCATGGCCTCTTGGTCATTTCTCGCGGAACATCGGTTGTAAGTTGTGCTCTTATTCTTCAAACCTAACTTTAACTGACCTTGCTGGTTTTCCTCTTTCAGCTATTATTGGCCATGTACATACTTTACTTGTATTTCCAGCTCAAGACACACACATATCTTTACCAAGAAGAAGCATCAGACGGTCCTGAAGAAGAAGCTACTATGAACCTCAAATCTGCTTCAGCAGCTTTAGTCTTAGTGACCGTCATCACAGCTTTCTGTGCTGAATATTTAGTGGATTCGATTGATGAATTTGCTACGAGTGCTGGAATTCCAAAAGCGTTTATTGGTTTGATCTTATTACCTATTGTGGGAAATGCAGCGGAACATGCTACTAGTGTTTGGATGGCCATGAAAGGTAAAATGGAACTTGCTATTGGTGTGGCTGTTGGTAGTAGTATCGTAAGCCTTTGGGTTTCGTTTCTTGATTATCTTGGTCTCTTGTTGATGGATTCATTTTGTTTCCTTCTTTAGCAAATCGCTGTTGGTGTGATTCCTATTATGGTCATCATTGGATGGATCACTGGAAAACCTTTAACAGTCTGTTTTGTTTCTCTTCTGATCTTTGTTTTATCATTTCTTCATAAACTGATTCTCTTCTTGGAATTCATGATCTTCATCATGATGATTAGCTTTACTTTGAGAACTTTGAAACGATCTGTTTAGTTTTCTCTGTCTTATTGACTACACTTTTAATTCAAGATGGTAAAAGTAATTATATGGAAGGTGCAATGTTAGTTTCACTTTATGTGATTATTGCTTTAGCATTCTGGGTTTCTTGAATCGATTTTTCTTTTTTTTTTCCTTTTTCGATGATTTCTTTTTCTGTTTTTACACAATCTTTTTTTCTTTTTTTTTTCTCTTCTTTTTACTGGTTGGCTTTCTTTTTTCTTCTGTTGTGTTTTAGTTGTATACTTTTTGTGTTGTGTTTTTTTTTTCAATGGGTTTTGTATAAGTGTGGATTTTTTTTTTGATTGAAGATTATCATTCAATTTAAACACAATACAAGATTTTTTTTTTCTTTAAAGCAGACTTTTTTGGGCCGGAAGGGGGGTTTCTTTATGATGGAATGAGTTTTGACTTTTTTTGCTTTTTTGTTTGTAATCAATATTATCAATACAATGAAATCATCAGATTGGACAATAAGAAGAAGATCAAGACTTGAATTTAATAAAAGATGAAACAAACCAAGTTAGAATGATTATCTTTGATTTGAAGTGTCAAGAATCGAGTTGAATGAAATCTTATACAATCAAAAAAGAAGTCAAACCAATTACGATTGAAGAAATCTATAGAAATTCATCAAAAGATTCTCTTTTACTGAATCAGCAAAATACATGGCCCGTTGCCAGATTTGAACTAGCGACCTCGGCATGAATCAAGATGATACAAGTGCCGCGCAATAACGACTATGCTAAACGGGCTTGTAGAGTTGCAAGAAAATTAACTGCAGATTCAGTTTTCATTCGATCAACTTTTTTAATCAGTCATCGCAATTGAAGTGCATTTGTCACAGTCATAGGTTTCGAGAAGGTAGAGTGAAAGGTTATATCTAATAAGTTTGTAAACTGAACACTTGGTTTTTTCCTTTTTGTTTGATCATATGTATTTTTCTTGTTTAAGTTTAAAAAAGAATATTTAAACCGATTGATAAAATTGAAATTTCTTTACAAGATAAAAGAATGTTGTGTTGTATAGGAAAGAGAGAAACAAAGAGAAAGAGATAAAGATGAAGAGAAAAAAAAAACTCAAAAGAGAAAAAAAAAGGGTATTGATATAAGATAGAATGTTAAGATTTTAACCAATCTGTTTGTCTTTTTAATCTTTTCTCTAACTTTTGTTCTTTAAATTTAATTAATTCTTGTGTAGATAATTTACTTGGGAATTTATTTTGATGATCTTTTGATGTACCTGTTAGTTTACCATTAGATTTTTCGAGACTTTTTTTGCATAGAATCAAAAAAAAAATCAAAGAGAAGAGAAGAGAAGAAAAGGGAAGAGAAGAGAAGAAAGATAAAGACATCAGTTTTGAAAAGACCCATGAAGTCAAAAAAAAAAGAGAAGAGAAGAGATTTTCGAGAAAAAAAGACATTACCTTTTTTCCCAACCTTCTACATCGAAATAAGCTTTAGCTTGAGTTCTAGATCTTTCGATTTCAGTAAACCGATTTCCATTTGGTAAATCAGTAGAAGATTGAAATTGACCAGTTCTAGAATTAAACTGAGCTTTAAAGCTTAATGAACGATTCTCATTTAATGATAAACTTGAATCTAAGTAAGCTAATTCTGGATGAATTCCATTTAATGATGAAGAAGTGTTGATTTGAATTGAAGAATTGGTGGTCAAAGTTGTGCTTTCGAATGGGTTTTGCCATGTGCTTTCTCCTGTTTTGGTGTTTACATAATAATAAGCTGTTTGTCTATTTAAACAACGGGGTGGGTTTTTGGCGTCAGTGTTGTTTGTGGTGATGGGTTGAACAATAAGGATGATCAAGGTTCTTATTACTTACTGGTAATCATAAATGGCTTGCCAATCTCCATTTGCGAAAACAGCCGTTGAAGCAGACGGATCAACTGTTTGATGGTCTTGTTCAGAGGTATTACCTTTTGAACTTGAACGATTTTCTTCAGTGGAATCATCCACTGTTTCTTCAGTGGAATCATCCACTGAGATTTCTTTTCCTTTTCCTTTTCCTTTGACGATTTTTGTTTTTTGCTCTTCCTCTTCCTCTTTGTCATCTTCTTCTCCCTGATCTTTTTCATCATCGGTTTCACTTGCTTTAACTTTTGCTTCTTTTTCTTCTTCTTGAGTTAATTTATCATTTGGTTTTTCATTTTCATCAAGTTGATTGATTGGTCGATTTAGTTCAATTGAATCTGTTTTGTTCAAATCATTTGATTGGTCTATGTTGGATCGTTTACTCAGATTGGTTTCAACTTCATCTTCATTAGAATTTCTTGATCTTTTATTGTTCATGATTTCGTTTGGTTAGACTTGAAGTTTTGATTGGGTTTCAATATTATAGATTTCTTGATTCTTGATTGTGGATTGTTGTTCTAAGGTCAGTTTTATCAATCTAGATCTGCGCTTGAACTGAGGCACATAATCATTTGGCCCGAGTCCGTGTTTGAGGTCTGATATTTCAGGACTTGCTCCGGTACCGAGCCGGTCTCATTGTGGTCATATCAAGGTCCAGCTCTCAACTTGCTCCAGTCCAGAGTCAGGACCTTTTTTTTTAGCCAAAACAGTCACCAATTTCAATCTTACATATATGTAAGCACAGCCATTCTGATATCACTTCTTGCAAGCTTTCAAAAACTTAAAAAATAAATCACATTCAGAAACCCAAGTTTCTACCAAATAAAACTTCATCTTTAGCTGTACTATTGCATACAATCCTTCTTGTCTTTCAGTAAGACAGTATTTACAAATTAACTTTTTCTTATGAGATTTATGTAGATCACATTGATCAAAACTAACAGTATGCTCAGTAGAAGTGATAAGATCTACACCTTCAAGTTCTTTGACTAAAATTCCATTTAAATCCTTGAGGATTATTCTTTAAAGCTATCTAGCCATTTCATCAAGACCATAGATGCTCATTATTATTCTCAATGTCTGGCCCAAGCACTTAAAATCACACCTCAGAAGTGGTTTCTTTTTGCTCATTTGTATATTTTTGATTGGGTATGTATTCTGGGCTGAAAATCTTTTACCCAGCTGTATTTCAAGTGTCTGAATGGAAGATAAAAAAAACTCACTAGTACTGATTTGATTTCTTTCACCTTTAGCAGATGCATCTAACAGTTTCAACTCCCCAACTGATGATATAATGCATTTGATTTATGCTTTAAAACTAGTTTCACATTCATAATCCAATCAAGATAAACAGTCTTGATGAAATCCTACTGAAATTCTAGTGTATTTAAAGATGATGTCTAGCAAAATTCATCCATTGCAATCACATTCTGCCACCACCTTGAGCTTGATTCTCCACCCTCACTACAATTCCAAATAACCTGCAGCTTTTTTCCCTCAAAGCCAACCAACTGCATCCTGGACTTTGAAATCCATTTCAATTCTTTCTCCTGTTGATTTCATCCTTTGATCCAAATCTATGGGCTCTGCTTAATTCTGTTGAAGCTCTATAGACATCTAAAAGCAGAAGTTACATAAGTTGATAATCTTTCATATTTTGCTTTAAAGATGAAGTGCACTGCCACAGTCATTTTGAATTTTTGAAATTAGTTTTCTTTATCCTATTGAATTATCAATACAAATACCAAACGGATTTTCATGATAAAGTAAAAAGAACATATTAAAAAGACCTAAACCCTCACGTCTATGAAAAAAAAGAAAAAATGACCGCATTATAAAAAAAAGGACTTATGATGTAAAAGATCTATGATATTGAACACCTACTTATCACTTTGATAAATCTTCTCAAACAATGACAGAGAGAAAACTTATAAGATCAGAATTGAAAATAAATGAAAAAAGTTTATTTCGTGATCATTTATTCTTCTGAATCTAGATTAGTTTCTCTATCATTTAATGAACTTATGATTACTTCTAAAACTTGTTGTTGTCGTTTTAAAATGATTGGATCTTTTGTTAAACAAAAAGTTGGTACTCCTAGCTAGAAGATATAAAACCATATTGCATAAAAAATTCAATTTGGGTTGAAATATTTATCGATCATTCGAATATTAATCATTTGTAGGGGGAAATAAATAAGAGATATATGGATTAGTATTTGATCAGTTTTCGTTTCAAAAATGACGAATCTAATTTTGTCAAAAAGTAAATGAGATTGAGGTAAAAAAAGTGGGAAATGTGCGAAAACTAAAAAAGATCACTGACGTTTTGTAAAGTAAGTTGTTGTTGAGATTTCAAACTATCCCATCTCATTAAAGCTGATTGATCGAATTTTTCTAACTCGATTTTCATATTATCCTCACATCGCTGTGAATGTAAAATGCCATATTAAGAATCAATCTTGTTACGAACAAATTGAGAAAAAGCTTACTCGGATTTCTATTGCAGATTTTCTGATTGTAAACATGAAATAAATATCATGAGATGTCAGTATGAAATTGAAAATCGTAAAGAGAATTGTTTTCAAAGTTACAAAAAGACATATTGAGGTGAAAGAAGAGAGGTGGTCGTGTAAATGAGAAACGGACGAAGAAAAAGGAAAACTTACCCAGATGAATCAGCATGTTTGATAGTACGCTCATTTTCATTTTTTAATCGATTACGTTCATCTAGTAATCTTAATTCAAATTCTTCTTGTTTTTCTTTGATCTAAAATCATCATCAACGATTCAAAGAGAGACAAAGACAGACGAAAAAAAAGGGAAAAAAAACTCTCGAAAAGAATTAAATTAAAATTAAAATCTTTAATGTATTTGTTTTTTTGGAAAAAAAGTGGTTTTTTGGACAAATTTATAGAATTTGAATTTAAATAAACTTACATCTTGAAATGCATCTAAAAATGATTCAGTTTCAATCAATTTTGTCAAAATAGGTAACGCTTGAGAGAATTTCAATTGGGTTAAATCTTTTGACATCGGAGAAGATGAAGATGAAGTAAGATTTGAAGCTTTATTAGTATTTTCATGATCTGATTTATTTTGATCAATGACCAAGGGTGGTGGTGAATGTTCGAAATTGGAAGTCAAAGGATCAGGTGAGAATGAAGTAGATTGAATTGGATCTTGATCATTTCCTGATAAAGAAAGATGGGAAGAATGCGATTGAATCGGATTTTGATGAGTATACGAGAGATCAGGTGTATCTTCTCTTGGAGTTGTCGGAGTTAATGGCGGAGAAAGTAGTTTAGGTTTCTTCGGATATGGCATCAAGCTGGATGAGTCTTGATTGAAATCATCCCTAGATCTACTAAGTGAAGATCTCGCAGACAAAGGTGTAGTCGGATTCGATTGGAACTGATGATGATCTTGATAGTATTGGGAACGTGAAACCGGTTGTAAAGCATTGATTAAATTAAAGATATCATTAGTTGAAGAGCTTGAAGAAGATGGTAAAGGTGGAGAGAACCCCGGATTGACAGGTGATGATAAATTACTAAGTAAAGCTGAAAGAGAAGTTGAGGTGGTGGTGGTTGACGACGATGATGATGAATTAGTTTGATATTGATATTGATGAGTAGTAGGATGATTATAATTTGAATGATAACTTTGATTATAAGCTGATTGTTGATAAAATTGAGAATTGATATCGGCAGATTGAATTGGCATCGGAGTTGGTATTTGAGCTGGCATTGACATTGGCATTGACATCGTGATTTGATTTGAGGTTGGAATTGTTGGGGAAGTTAAAGATTGTAATAAGTTTTGCAATTCACCTAGATCTAAATTCACACTTGGTTCCATTCTTCATATGATATGTGTTGAGATATCGATGTCCTTAATCGTTCGATTGATATGCTATTCACTTCATCGATCGTTTGATATCCTTTCCAGTTTCTTATTTGAGCTGACTGGTGGTGGTGGTGGTGACCAGCTTGTTGACCATAAACGATCGAGTTCAAGTTTTATAAAATTTTGAATTTCAAGTTCAACAAATTTGGTTTTGGTTTCATTACATTCGGTAGGTCACGTGACTTGTCGTCTTCGCGTCACCAGCATGATCGGACTCGTGCTCAGGGTCAACTTCCACCATTTGGCTAGAGCTCACTCTCCTTTGGTAAACATGGGTTTGTTGTGGAAGTTTGTGACATCAATTAAATATGAGGATAACATTCAACACACCACGTATACATAAACCTGCCCACATAACTGAAAACAAATAAAATCAGAAGTTATACCATTTTTGAATTCTGATTGAGTCCCTCAACTTGTACCTTCTTGAAGCTCTCTAGAGCCTGACGTTCCAAGGGCGGCTTCAATGCGTCACAAAACCATCATCTTACACTTTTCTAGATGATGTGGCACTCAATGTGTCAAGAGTTCCTTCATGTGCTGATTTATATCTTGATAAGATGTATGTCACATATTTGTGAGACAAACAGAACAAGACACAAGTCTTGACCTGATTGCAAAACATTCCTACAGATCCAAGTGGGTCCAAGGAAGACTTCAATGTGCCATCTTGACAAGTTTTATATTTCATATCTCTGAAAGAACCAGAACAAGACACATGTTTTGATCTGATTACACAATCTTCAAGCAATCTTAGTACAAGTTTTTCACCTACAAAAATAAAATACTATGAAAGTCCTTTGAATCACAACTGTCTGATCCGATAATCCTTGTGCTTTTTACAAAAATGAACAAAACAAATTTCAACATCTACCTGGTAGCTCTCTTTGGAATTTTTCATCAATATCTCTGCAGCCCATCTCCTAGTCTTCAATACATAAATAAGATCAATGATGGTGATGTTCAAGACTTGGGGTCCAACTTTTTCCTTGGACCAACTGATCAGCACTTCCCTATTCCTTCTGAGAAAGCAGAGTTCCTGGGAAAGAAACAATCCCAAAGCAGCAAGAATATAGGAATTCAATTGGCCTCATGTTTTGCAGCCAGAAATCCTCCACCAGGGTTTGAAAGTCCAAAGTTGAAAGTAGGGATCAGTAACTCTGATTACTCAAGCCTCAAGGACCAGGATTTGATTTATAACAGGCTAGCTCACAACAATGTTCATACAGAATCAAGAGTTCAGTCAGAACATGGTGGGTTTCATGCATCTTCCTCTCATTATAGTGAGAACAACTGGACCCCACATCACATAACACAAAAGGGCTTGGGTGGACCTGCAATTACTGAATCCAAGGGATTCCAAAAAGCTGTCCAGCCACCAAAGTCCCCTAATTCTGGGTTTGGGCAAGTTTTATGCAATCATAAAGGATATGATATGAGTGAAGAGAAAAGAAAAGAATCTAATTTGGGTGCTTCAAGTGCTATGTACAAGCAATGGGATGACAATGCAAGACTTAACAACATGTTATCCCTTGAAGGTTTGAAGATGAAGGATGATACAAAGGTCATATACACACCAAAGATACAACATGGCCCTCATCATCCTGGAAGCTTCCAACTTGGCCCACAGAATATGTTAGGAATGACTAAAGCTCCTGTAGGAAACCAACAAGGCATGGAGCTATCAGTACCTCTGTCATATCCTGTTTCCAGAGAGGGTCAATTGAGACATATCACACCGGATATTGAATTTGATTTAAATCAAGGGCATACTTCTCATTACATCCCTGTACAACTATCAAGAAGCCAAGTGAGTCCTCATCAAAAACAATTGTTGCATTACCTTTTCATTGATTATTCCCCTTTTTCTGTCTATATGAATAAGACGAGTTCTTGGACACATCATGATTGTCAAGCTTCGAATACTTTGGGTAATCACATTTGGAAAACACCTCAAAGTCAGCCTTCTGGGACAAATCCTCATGAATATCATTCATTTGAGCCCCCAAAAATTGTTCCTTATGCACCATTTGTGGCTTTGGAGAATGGCCCAAATGGTTCTTTGAAAGGTGTGATTTATAATTAATCATGTGACTCACTTTGAAGTTCTTCTATGTTTACTGAGCCACATCTATAATTCTCCTACTTCCTCAATAGGCTGGAATCACCAGCATGAGATGTATGATCATGGACTGAAAATTAGTGAGTGTTATTTTGGAAATTCTTTTTTGCATAGACTGATCATTTGGCTTCTGAAATTGCTAAAAACCACCTCTGTCAAGCTCTGGAATTGTTTGAAGAAATCATTTCTGACCCTTATATGGAAAATCCCTTCCAAGACAACTGGGAGGGTATTTACAACTTCTTTGCTGTATTACACCAAAGGTTAACACAAATCATAAGAAAAGGAAATTGGAATTATTGGGGAATGACAGCTGATTTCAAAGCTTTTGTTGTCTATGCTGTGAAAGTACCAGAAACATTTTCTCAAGTGAAGTCTCAGTTATTAGCATGGAAGCTACAAAGAAAACCAGGAAGTTTTCTACACAATGCAAGTGAATTTGCACTGGAATGGATTGACAGTCAAGATCATCTTGAACGGAATAATGGAATATATCCCACAAGACAACTCAAAAAGAAAATCATTAAATCAAAAGGGCTTTGGAAGAATGGGAGTGCTTCTGAAAAGGGTATGTCAGAATGATCCACTACTAGATTCACTTCAACTTCAAATCAATTTTCTGTCTGAATGTGAATTTATCATGTTTCAAATACACATCAATTTATGTAGGGCCTGAAGCGGAGGGTTATGATTCAAGCTTGAGGCGCTGGGAAATGGCATTGAACAGATGTAAGAGAAAGAACCTCCTGTTTATCAAACCAAACTTTGGTTAAGAATGTTTTATGTTGATATCAATATGGCTTCCTACTTTTCAATACAAAACAACACATTTACATGGTTATTGTTCTATAGCCTTGAAATTCTGGAGAGAATTTACTGCGGAACAAAAACCAAGTAGACAACACAATTTTTTTGGTCTCACACGCGATCTCCAGAAGACACAAGTGCAAATTGACAAAAAGATAAAAGACAGGAGCAGAAAATATGATGATTGGTACTTCCCAGGGGAGCTAGCAGATTATGTAGCTTTTGCTGCAAGGAAAGAAGATATATCACCTGTTGTTAAAGTAGATTTAAAACGTTGGATGTCATTGAGTGGTGATGGGAATCCCATCTCAAGTATGTGTGAATATGCACTCTCATGGCTTGAGAGACAGGAAGTATTTGCCCACAAGAACTACAAAAAACCTGGTTCAAATATTGACACAAGCACTTGCAATACTATCAAAGACATGCACCACTCAGATAGTTTGTTTCTGTCTTCAATATTCCTAACATCTTGATCCTGGTTGAATGTGGTGTTTTTGAATACTGATGTCTTACCTTCTTCTTGTAAATTTCATAGGTCTTCTTCAATACACACATTTGAAGGAGTTGGACTACAGAAAAAGGTTGAATACTGGTCAGTATACCAAAGTTCAAATCATGTTCTTATACTTGAAGTTAGATTTGATGGGTGATTGATTGTTACCAAAAAAAATTGCACCCATACACAGCATTGAATTACTGGGAAGATATTTTGCACATGCCTTGGCAAGTTCAACAAAATAAAATCAAACATGAAAATTTTGCCTTAAATTCCTTTGTACAGACAGACCATGATTTGCATAAGAGATTTTCACAGAACATCAGAGACAAAATTGACAATGATTACATGGACAAAGTATTTGCAACTTATGTAGCTTCTGCTTTTAAATGTCCAAAAGTCTTCAACCGAATCAAGGAGAGCCTAGAGTCCTGGATGAAATTAACTGACAAAGGAAGTGCAATGCAGTTCAAAGCTCAGGTTGCAGCTAGCTGGCTTCAAGAGAAACAAGCTGGAGTTGTTGCGGGATCACCTTGAGGATGGAGAAGGAAGTTTCACTTCAAGGCTATTGTAAAATGGCATTGACATGGATGCATATTCATTGAAGTCATATTTCAATCTACTGATTGGTTAATTTGTAGATAAAGTTTTGATTATAGGATTGATTGGGGCTCATGATCTTTATAGTATTGAAAATGTGAAACCAGTTCATATGAAGTTTACAAAATTTGAAATTGAAATTTTAACATAATTTTCATTGCTTTCATTACATGTTCAATGTCACACAGCATATCTTATAACACATTGCCCTGCATTACCCATCTTTGATTCAAACTCTGCGTGCTCATCACAAACATTACACAGCCTCCTACCAAAGAGAAGCCCTTTCCCTGTCATTTCTTGTAGGCATAGGGTTAGAGCAGAGACCAGTGAGGGATCTCTTTGGGGGTTTACTACAAGGTACTAGATATATTGCAGTATAAGGGAACAGCTATGCGAGACACGTGGGTTGGAGATACAATGGTGTCCCTGTGACATGTCTACACAGGTGTCACTGATCCAGGCTTGTTACATTACCCCCCCTTTCAATGCCCAAGCCCCCTCTTTGTGGGTCTAAATTCTTTCTGTGGGAGGAGTGCAAAGGAACCTAGTGGTGAAAAATGCCTACCTTTCACTTTCTCTGTTTCCTCTGATGTCTTGTTGCTGCGTGTGAGTGTGATGAGTTGAATTTTTCCACTCTAGCAGTTCTTGAGGTTCTTCTCTGTCCCCACAAATTATGAGTTCAGCTGAAACATTTCCATGCTGCTAGATACATACTTACACCTGTGGTGTGCCTATCATTGACTGTGCAGCCAATAAAGCAGCCAATAAAGCAGAGTACATTTTCATTGAATGCGGACCTGATGCTCACTGCTAAATTTCTTGAGATCATCTAGATCAAAATTTTGAGCTCATTTTTCCGCCGCATAAGTCATCAGTAAGTCTTGCATCTGTTTGGACATGTTCATAGGAGTCTAACATGTGCAATGAATGTGATCCAAGTCAAACATCAAGCCACTTTTTTCGTCTGAGTCTCCTCAGATTGAGCTGATATGGAGTTTGATCCAAATCAGATTGTCCTTTTTCACCAGTACCTTTTTTGAGCCTTGTCTCATTCAGCTGAGATGAGTACCCATCCACTAGGTGTTGTGGTTGCCCATCGACAAGCACGCATCACTTTGGTGCACTTGACAAGCGCTCAGACACGGTGAACAACTTTCCAAGTGTCCCTCTCCCTCTTTCTTTCTCTCATGTCATGGTACCTAGCCATATACCTAAACAAACACTTTATTTTCTTTGTCATACTTTTCCTGCAAGGGATTTATCAAACCCATTAATCTGTAACTTGAAAACAAAAACAAAAAAACTATTAACAAAATGCTGATGAATTTTTTTTGCTAAAGAAAAACAAAACAAATGAAGAATTCAATTTTTTTGATGGGAAAGAAGCGCTACAGAGAAAGAAGCAGGAAAACAACAATGAATACAAAATGAAATCAAAATCGATTGAAAAAAAAGTTTTAACTGAAAAACGCAAAGCAAAAGTAATCTTCACTCAAAATGTGATTTAAACAATTCATATTCACAATATTTTGTTCTGCTTCTTAAATTCTTATTCAATTCATTTTAAATTTTTGATAATTATTGAATAAGCTTTCTTTTTTCTTTTTTTTGAAAGGTTTCAAAAATAAAGAACAATCAATGAACCATGAAATCAAATCGAACAAATACCAAACAAAAAGAACTCGGTTATTTACGCACACAGACTCACACATTAAAATGAGAAATTGTAAATGAAAGATGAAAATGAAAAAGGGCAATGCATTGGAGAGAAAGATGATAAGCAACAAAAAGAACAAAGAAACGAAAAGAAAAACAATTTGACTTTCATTTAACCTCTTGAACGTCTCACAATCGTAGCAAATCCAGTCCCACCTTGTTCTTCATCTTCATCATCATCCCAACTATGTCTTGTAGATGCGTTGAGACTAGGAGTAGGCGAAGGTTGAGCAGGTAAGATATTAGTTGATTTGTTATTAGTATTGATGGGTGGGATTCTCTCTTTATCTGTAGTTTGTTCAACTTCGAATTCATCTGCATTATCAATTCCTTCTGGTAAATCATCCATCTCACTTTCACTAAGTGGTTCGACCAATATCGGGTGGATTTCAAATTCGGATGTATTCGAATTGGTTTCATGTGCATCGATCGGCACATCGGATGGTACTGGTCTTGTGTTTTCTGGTTTGATCGTCGTGACTGGCGATGTTTCACAAACATGATCACTTAACATCATCAATGAAAGTGGCACACCACAATCTGCACATTTCACCATTGGCATATCCGCTTCTTCATCTCCATTCATAGATCCTTCTACTGATGAGTTCACTGGATAAGCATCTAAGATTCCATCATAAGCTTCATGTGAATCTGTACCATCTTCTTCTGGTTTTTCTCCACCACTAAGATTAGAACTCGTTTGAGATGAAGATCGTGAGATAGATTCGGATGTCAATGCAGGTGGTTCGATCGGTGCTCCATCTGCACTTGAAGATGTCGTAGCATTGTCAACTGTGATGGGTCTTGCAATCGGATCAGTTACTTCAGCTTCGAATTTCGCCAATTCTTCTTTGGTTGTCTTCGCTCTCGTTTCGTCATCTGGTTCAGATGCCGTAGTAGGAAGATTGATTTGAGAAATCTGAACAGGCGTTGGAAGGGGTGAATTGCGCTCAGATCCAAGTTCAGCTCTAGCAGAGTTGACGCTCATGGCACTAGGTGTGAGCGGAGGTGCAGGAGCGAGACTGAGATTTTTGAGTAAAGTTACAGAATCACCGGATCCATGACGTTGAGATGGTCGACCGCTGTTAGGAGGTGAATTGCTGACATCTGATGCGCCAGAGGTATGACGGTAGTGTTGACCACTTTGGCTCCGCTGAACTGAGGATCTGGAAGGTACCAAACTAACAGGTGCCTGTCCACCACTGACGCCTAAACTAGCGATTCGCATTCGATCAAGACCACGACTAGATGCAACAAGAGGAGCACCGAGTCCAAAAGAACCTTTAGGCACTAGCGGAGCTTCATGTTGACCGGTAGCTTCGTATTTCGAAATTTTGGATTTGATTTCACCAGGTAAACCGGAAGTCGAACTGGAAGAATTTGATTTTTCATTGATGACATTTGCATTGAGCTTGGCAATCCTTTCAGCCAAGGAAGTGGTGATTTTAGGAGGTTCAGGCCTATTGATAGTTCAAAGATGATCAGTAAGATGAATCAAAATGAAGGGAAATGGTAGTAAGCTTACATTGTAGAAAGGTGAACGGACAGATTACAAGATTAGGATAATTCAAAGGGAATCGAAGTGTACTTGATTGCGATTGGATGATCGGAGTTTATTGTATTTCGTGGGTGACTGACGGTAATCGACAAAGTTCGGTAGGATGATCAGATGATGATTTTGTTGATGATGGAAAGATTGATTGTGAGAAAGAGGGAGAGAGAGATTGAAACTGAGATAGATTTAAGAAGAAAGCAAAAAGTTAATTGATAAAACAGAGAATGTTTTCAATCTGAATCAGAATGAAATGCTTCGATTGAAGGTGTCTTAGAGGATGAGTGATAATCGAAAAAGAATAAAAGATGGAAAGAAGTACAACAGCGATGGAAGTGACGAACAACCCAAAGTTGAGAATGGATTAAAGAAAAAAATCAGTTGAATTGAATTTTAAATGTAACCACTAGTTTTCCTTTGGGGTCAGTGGGGAAGGGGTTCAGGTAAAGAAAGCCTTTGAAAGGAGGTAGTTCGAGAGCAACGGTTGCGTAAGGTTACGATAACTTAGAATTGTAGTGGGGTGTTAACCAATCTTAAAAGGGTCAAGAGTAAATCACTCACTAACTTTTTTAACAACACTCAGTTACCGATCTCCTTGGAACTTCAAATCGAGTTCGGTCGAGCGGAATCCAGATTTGATAAATTGATGACAGTCGTTGAAACTTGAGGATTGTCGAGAGAAGCAAGTTACAATCCACTCAACTGTAGAATAGAAAGAAAATGATCAGACAATCGAAAGATAGCTGACGAAAGGTCTTGATGTTTTCACTACTAGAAGAGGGTCGCTCGAATCGGAATAATTGAAAGAATTGATGATGATGTACTCCGAATGACGAAAGTTGAGGATAATGAGAAGAGAGTTCAAGCTTTTATTAAGAAAGCGTGATCTCAATGATGAATGCACTGATTATATATCTGTTTACTAAACACCCATCGAAAGTAAAAAAAGGTCGTTCCTCAATTGATTATTAAAAATGTAATCATCACTGACTTGATTTGTATTGCATTCAATAGAAAAATATTAATCATACATTTGACTCCTACATAGTGCACATGGTTCATTTCGTTTCCAGACAAAAAATCACTAAACTCTTACTCAACTTGAACTTGAAGGACCAAGCCTTTAAAGGAGCTTCTATCAAAGAAGTGGCTTGATTCTCTAGAACTTCACCCACTGATTGATCTGATGACTTCCTAGTTCCATTGAAGTTCAAGCGCGCGCTATGCGTCCTCCTTCTTGAGGTGTATCCACACAATCTATGTATCGAAATTTCTTCACATCAAAAGTTGTTTTTCCTCTCATGGTTTGTCGTTTCGCATGTCTCCATGAATATGTAATTTGATGGCGATCACTCTCATGACCGAATTTTCGTTTCATCCATAAAGGCTCTATGACGTCATCTGTCGGTACTTAATGTGTGAAACGCTGTGAAACGCAATTTTCAAGTGATGCCTGTTGAATCTTGATGCATCTGGATTCTGTACACAAAGTTTCGATCATCACAATCTTGAACAAACATCGAGAGCAAACGAAGGGTTGCGGAAGATGAGAGCGCGCTCTCATGCGAGCGGCTACCATATTCCACGCTGCGACGTAGACCAATTCAGCAATACAAATGTCCCGATGTAGCCAGCCGCACTTACAGTAACATGCAAAAAGGATGAAAAATCCTAAAAACAAGATTGTCCTGCTGGTCCGTGCGCCCTGCGAAGTTGGGCGAATCTGGACCGCCAAACATCGCCTGACTTCTGATGTCCATAGCCACTGACTACCATGACCTTCGAATGGCTTCACAAGCAAACCAGAGCAAACCCCCCAAAAACTTCCACCCAGCACCTCCGATCCGGATCCCCCCCTCTCCATCCAATCAAATTCCTCCTATCCCCATCCAACATCACCAATCCGTTCACTTCAATGGGCTTTCAATCCTACTCAGCGGATATCAAACTCCTGGCTGTCGAGATGGCCATGGACGATGTTGATCTCATTACAATCAATCTGACCCTTCGAACTTCGATCTCCGCCACTTCCCTTTGGCGTTGGAGAAAGCTCTACGAACAAACACGGAGGGTTTTTCGCGATCCCAAGCAATACCAGACCCGTGGCCGACCCCACCGATTGTCAGATCAACATCTTGCGGTACTTAATGAATTGGTTACCGACTGTCCCTCCATCTACCTCGATGAATTGCAAAAACAGCTTGAACGAATCATCGGCATCCCTGTGTCTCAATCGACCATTGGCCGCGAGTTGCACAACCGCTTAGGACTCTCTCATCTTATCACTCGAGGTGTTCATGCCGCGCAGTCAAAGGCAGATCGAACTGCTTATATGTTAAAGGTGGGCTGCATTCCACCTGAGTACTTGGTGTTTATCGGTAAGTCACTGTTCTTTCAATAAATATTGGATGTTTCTGTGTAGTCGTATGCTCATCGCATTGACTTTTCCATTTCAAAGATGAATCTGGAGTGGTAGGGCGCGACGCCCTTCGACTGAAGAGCTGGGCTCCAAAGGGGTCTCGTACAGTTCGCCAGAAGCGCCACACCGAGCAAGACCACTGGACGATTCTCCCTGCTGTATGTGAGCAAGGAATCATCGCAGGAAATGTCTTCAAAGGGGCTGTGGAACAAACTCATGTTGAACTATTCCTCGCATGTGAATTGGTCAGTTTTGTTTCATCTTCATCAATCTCTGGGTCTGATATCAATCCCTTTTGACTTACTAATTATAGTGTGACCTCTTCCATGCTAGCTTCCTCGTATGAACCCATACCCCGCGGTTAACTCGGTCCTTGTAATGGACAACGCCCGCATACACCACGGAGGACAAATCAAGCAGATGTGCAAGGATGCTGGGGTACTTTTAGTTTATTTACCAGCTTATTCACCCGACATGAATCCAATTGAGAATGCCTTCCACAGCATGAAGGCTCAGTTACGGCGAGAAGAGCAATGGTTTGAAGTCCCAGATAAGGGTGATTATCTGCTTTTAACCGCCGCCAAAGTTATGACTCGAGGTTTATTACAACCGCTGATTGCTTTTAGTGGCTATTCAACCGCCCGTTATTGGGAACAATACAATAATCAAGCGGCCGAATAAGCCAAAATTCGGCAGCTTGATTATTGTGTTGTCTTTATAAGTTTTCACTGTCTGGAAATGTGTCCCTTAAGATATGTCCATCTGAAGCTGTCTACAATCGTTTGAAATGTTGTGAGCTTGCTCAATTACCTAGTTCAACTTTAGGATAAATGAAAATTTGTTATTCTTTCATCTGCGTGACCGGGTGTTTAGAGCAATTTGAGCAACCGATTGAATTTCCTCCAAAGGTTATTGTCGCAAAAGCTCATTTTCGGTTGAGGTCTTTTCAGAAAGACTTGAACCAAATAACTGAGTCTTTGTATGATCAGAAACCTGGAATTTAACCAGTCCTTTTGAATCGATTTTCGAAGTTGTTCTCCAAAGAGGAAAGAATCACAAGTCCAAAAAACAAAATTCCCTTTTGTTGAGGTTTTTTGGACTTGTGATTCTTAAAGAAGAATCACATGGGTTTTTTTGAACGGTCGGACAGCTCGATGCCGACTTGAACATCAAACAAAAAAAGGTAGTTGAGCAAATTAAACACATTATGATCAAGGTCGCACTCTTGGTTTGTGAACAATTCATGAGAAATTTCATTTAGTTTTCATGTGGGAGTGGTGATGGGATACCTCAGTTTGAATAAAGGATTTGTAAATCTTAACAAGTTCAAAAGCACACATTTGGGTGGTAGCCATACAATCATCGTGAGGGCATACATATCTTGATGGACATTCATTATCATAAAATGAGAGGAACTACGGTTCGTGAAGGGGGAAAAGCCGTACACAAGACAATCAAGAAATGCACATCTGGAATATAGGCAGGGAACAAACTAGTGCATGATTCAATTGTCGATGTTGTCTCCATGGGCTTCAGCAGAGGCAGCTCTCATGGCTCGGAGAGTCATGAGTTCTTCTAACTTGTTGACTTGGAAAGTGTAGTACTCGCGAGGTCGAGTCATTAACTCCATCACAACTCCGTATGGAATACCCCAACTAGCGATGGTCTTTGCGCTCAAAACAGAAGGAAATAGAAATCGATGGAAGCTGGTAATCAAATGCTTGAAGAAGATCTGAACATAATCGTCGATCTTGTTGTAATCGATCTCGCACCAGGTCAAGTATTGTTGCAAAGTTGAATGGATTTCGATGCGTCGTATGTTTTTGAAATCGACGCTGACCGTAGATGATTGCATTTCAGCATAGCTGCCCAACTCAGAGGGGCGACTCGCCTCTTCAACCTTAATCTTCTTAGCCACCGAAGTAGGGGTTGCGAGGGAAGGGCGCTTGACCGGCTTGACATCAATCCAGAAGAACTCTTCCAATTCCATAGGCGGGTCATCAATAGTAACATCTCTGGTACCCTTGACCTATCAAAATGAAACCCATTAGTTACTTGACATCAAGTAAGGAAATCTAATCACGAAAAATGAGGAAGAAAACAACATACCAATTCGCGAGCCCACAGGATCAAGTGATGGAAGGTTAGTTCCATTTTCAAGGTCAAGTCCTTCGGATTAAAAATTCGCCATCCTTCAGCCTTGTTATTCTTCAATGAACCATGATGATCTTGTAACGCAGTGAGCCATCGCGAATGAGGATCAACAGGAGTTGCATGAGCAAGATCCGAGGCAGTGGTAACAACATTATTGAGGGTGTTCTGTGCTCTGAGTCGGGCTTGATTCTTTGTGAGTTCCTGCACCAAAAAGAACCGGGCAAAGTTAGCCTGTGAAAGGATAAAGGCAAAATGTGAAGTGAAATAATGGGTACATACATCAATTGCCTCTTGAGCACATCGTGCTGGGTTGTCCATCACAATGACGAAACCGGCGTGCTTTCCGAGAGCTCCAAGGACCGATTGAAAGAAAGAGGAGACATGGATATCTTCGGTGATGGTACGTTCTTGGTTTTTGGCCCAGGTGTCGTGGGCAGTAATAAACGCATAGATCTTGACTTGTTTCATGGCATCGGCGGTTTGGAGAATAGCTGTGTTACCTTTGCTTTGGTCGTTATCAATCTCACTTGCCAGATCAAATAAACGTTGCTTCAATCACGCCAAAGAGGTTTCGTTTAGGTCGAAAGGTTTTTTGGTGGCGGGGATGGGAATTGTGGAATAGACTGGCTTCGCATTCTTCTTAGCGGGTCCCTTGGTGATATCCGTCCCTTTGAGCAAACACATAGTGTATGCCACGCTGAGCGGTTGAGGAGTAGTCACACGAGCTCCTGATGGTTGCAAAACTAAACCACAGACAAAAGTCTTGAATGTTAGAATGTGACTTCCTAAAGGACGGAAGCAGAAAGAATGCATACCAGGTTTTTTGTCGGACAGAGGGACACGAGGTGGTAAATTCAATGAGACAATCTCAATGTCGGAACTGGCCGCTGGGCTGGGGTCTCGGGCCACAGGTGGACCAAATATGACATCGGCAAGGGGTAGCGAAGAGCTGCAATCACCAACAGAGGCAGTGGTCTCTGAGACATGATCAACTGCAGCGGCAGCCAATGCGCTAACATATCCAGAAAAATAAAAATGTGAGACACAAACAAAAGAAGCAAAATTTCTAAAGAAAGGAACACACCGTCGAGTGCTAGGGTAAGGACGCTGCCCAATGGGGGTGTCATCTAAGTTGATTTGAGCTTGTGAGAAGTTTTGCATGATGGATCGAGAGTAATCAGAGTGAAAGGGGTCAAGGGTAGGCTTGAAGGTGAATGCTTTGGAGTAATCTGATCGAAACGACTGATGTGTGGTGCGATGAAGTCCAGAAAGGGTTGCAAAACCTCGCGGAAGGGCATTCGTAACGGTGAAGGGCTGAGTTGTGGTTCTAATCGATGGCCGGTAAGGTGGATCGGAAAGGTGCGGAGCCATGAGGAGCAGTATTCGTCTAGTCCCCCTTGACTGAAGATAGTTGAGGAGGCTGGTAGGCTAAGGATAGTGATGAGCGGTTTGAGGATGGATGGGGATGGGTGTTGGGGGCTGGGGTTTGGGAGCCGTGAGGTCTGTATAGGTCTGTATGCGAAGCCCTGGTAGTCGGTGGCTGTTGGAGACGAGAAGTTTGCTGAGCTTTGGCGGTCCGGTTTCGCCAGACTTCCCAGGGCGCACGGACCACCAGGTCGGTTTTGTTTCCGGATTTTTTCATCCTTTTTGCATCTTACTGTACATCCTGATCACTTTTTAAGTTTAGATCCATTCACACTAATACAGTCGCTACAGTCGAAGTCCAGCAACACCGCGCCCGCAAGTAACTTTTGAAACGTTACAGCGTGACTCAACACTTTACTATACCTCAATCACTTGTAATTAAGCTGGATATAGAGTGAGGAGAGCCTTCTTAACCCAAAACTAGCTTGCTTAGGCAATCCAACCACTTTTCAATTTTTTTATTTTTTTTTGCCCTCACATTTGGGACCTCCTACCTATAGGTATACTTATGCTTATACTTAAGCTCTTAGGGTACTTAACTAGGGCCTAAGGTATGTACATAAGCTTCTTATGTTGTCTTTAGGTGCTTCACGCATCTGCAGCAGCACTTTTTACATGGAGTAGACAAATATCAACATGGAGTAGACAAATATCAAATCATATTGACTGATATATCATTGGTATCTGTGGTATCAACATCACACACAGCTCAGTTAATAATCACATCTGGTTTTAAGTGAGCATTATGAGGAATTTCACGGTGTGATTTGTACTTCTTGACCAGCTTGGCAGCTGTCTCACCAGTGAAGCCCTTTCTAAAAGACAATGATATAAGGAGTCAGTCTTGTTGAAATTAGTGATGTTATCATTAAGAACTTACTCGTATGCATCAATCTGTCTATCAATCTTTCGAAAGTATTTCCGGATTACCAACGTTGGGCAGGCCTGTCGAACTCGTTCAAACAGTGCCTTAGCCTCTTCAAAACTCTGACGTTCGCGGCTTTGATGACGGTATTCTGAAATCAAAACCATAAGCTCTTATCAGTAGATGTTTGATTGGAAATTGATGAGGATGTACTGCTCACGCTGCTTTATGTAAGACCAAAAGAGTTCGATTGGATTAAGTTCACAATGAAATTTGGGCAAAAACAAACAAACATGTCCGGCCTCCTCAATTACCATCTGCAGTAGTGGTTTCTTGTTTAAGAAGTCGGATTGTAAAGAAAGGATGTGTGTAGCACAACAACTTGGATCGGAGGGCGTGGTGGTTCCTTCAGTAGGTAGATTCTCATCAAGGAAGTATCCATGTGCTTGGGCTTCTTTGATGAGTCGATCCTTTCGAAATTGGTCGTCTTGTGCTACCCCGGACTTCTTACAAGTTGAGCAAGTGCCGTTCAGTGGGGGCTTTCCAAGACTTTTTCGCTCTTCGTTGTAAGCTTTCCATAGACCACGTTCTTTGAGGACAACTTTCATACCTTTAGCCTTTCCAGCAAGCTCAGGGTTTGGATGATCCAAAGGAAATACCATAGATTGGGGTAGGCCTCGGAGTTCAGCTGGGATTTTAGGATCATCAGTTGGAATGATTGTATCACGTGGTTTATTTTGTTTTCCACCAGGGTTCAAGTTCATATTCTGAACTCGTAAAGCTGAGGGACCAAAAGCCTCGTGAGCCGACGAGCAATCAAACACAAATACCCCACAGCAGTCAGGGTGCATTGCTTCAAAGATAGGGATCGCTTTAGTCTTCACTTGAGTGATAAGCTGTTTCATGTCCCACCATGGATCCCCCTTCGAACCCGGATAAATCACCTCCGCTGCATCTGTTGGTAATGAAGGACTGATCTCAACCCCTAGCTTCGAGATGATTTCGGGTGTAAGATGAAGTCGTCCATGTGATTCCAAGATCCAATCGGATATGTGGATCAAGCGACCAACATTCTTGGTTCGAAATTCAGAGGTGTGAGGCAACAGCCAAGATATTCGAGACCGTTCATTTGCATGTATGGTGGATTCATCATGAAACAAAAACACGGTTCGACGTCGTCCTTCCGGTGTAGCCTTTACCTCGTCTTCACAATTGATGCCATCATATTGATACGAGGCAGATCGATACTCTTTATACATCCGGATGAACTCTCCACGATACTTCACAACATCGGGCCGCTCATGGCCATCAAAATAGAGTGATTTCTGATACTCTTTCGGTCGGAATCCCATTTTGAACATCCAGCGGTAAGCTGTTACCAAAGTGATGCGTTTTCCAGGATAAAACTTCGGAACGATGGTAGAGTTACAATGCTCAAGACATGCTCGAGGAGTAACCTGACAAAGACAATCTGGGTTAGACATCATTCAGCAGTAACAAACCATTCCCAAATCGAATGAAAGAATGGTTACTGACCTGACCAACTTTTTGATCGGTTGCCCATGAGTATAACACCTCAAATAACTGTGGATTATCAAGCATTGATACATGTGGCGAATTAAGTCCAGTTTTCGGGGATGAGAGCTCGTGTTGCTTGATCAAGTGATCGGCTTGAAAGCGAAGCTTTCTTGCACGACTTCTGCCGGAGCTGAACTGGGGATGTGGTTTATTGCTTCGGCGAGCTGAGGACAGAGCAGTCAAGACAGAAGCAGTGATTGAAGGAGATTTTGCACCAGATAATCTGAGTTCCTTCCGAAGTGAGTTGAACTTGCGAAGGTCTGCAAGGTCTAGATGTGGATAGGAAAACTTTGGATCACGTTTCTGCTTTTCCTTGTACATCACAGATGCGTTGAATATGGCTTTGTTCAACTCTTCCCATTCCTCATCAACACATTGCTTAAGATCCGGCTTTGTTACTATCTTCTTAACACTGTCTCGATACCGGCTGACACAGAGATCGATCCGGGTGTTGTATTCATTAGAGTTGTCTAAGCGACTCTCCTTCGCTGCTGAGGAATCATCACTCCGTTCAGAGCATCCATCATCTTCTTCACAATTGTCGTCTAAGTCGCTAGATTCTTCATCGGCCTGAACATCTACATCACAAACATCATCAATTGGAGGTGTTGTTGTGAGCGGAGAAGGATTGGCCTTGGCAAGCCAGTTGCCAAGTAATGATGCATTCTTTCCGACTGCTTTTTCGCGTTTTAATTTCCAGTTGTGTTTTGTTTGTTTTGAAACAGGAGCTGGTTTGAGTTTTTTTTCCGGGTTTTCAGTGTTGACAATTGGCTTTCTGTAGCCTTTGATGTACCCGCGAGTTTTGTTCTTACGCTTTCCAATCGTAGGTTTTGATCGATCCCGTGCATAGAAAACTGGCCAAAGATTATTTTCAATTATATCATTATCACATTGTTCTTCATCTGAAGAGTCGGCTGCATCAAGGCTGTAAAGCTGAAGAATTAGGTTGTTTTGATCAATTTCATCTTGCACGTTGTTGTTTATATCTTCATCATTGATATCCTCAGTTGATTTGATCTCATTCAGGTCTGCGTCACTTTGTGAATTTTGCGCTGCAATTCTATCATCCCGCTCTCTCCTTTGGCGCTGGCGCTGAGCCTTTTGACTTTTCTTGAGGGCCATTGAGTGTGTTGATTGTTTTTAAATAATGGAGGACTCGGAAATGGGTTATAAAAAAACTTTTTTGGGGCAAAGAGACAGTGGAGCAGACTCAAGGGGTGATTAGTCTGGTATAATGTGCAATTCAAAGTATCTTGATCATCATCTGTCTCTTTCTGTCACCTGTTTCTCAAATTTCTCATCCTTAAAATGTGAGATACGGACGTAATTCACTCGCCCAATGCGTGCTAAAGAATCTGGAAAACAAGGACCAACATTTGGGACCGGTACCGGTACCGGGGCCAGTACCGGCTCCAGTGTTGCTGAGCTTTGACTATAGCGACTGTAGGTCGAGATCTCAGCACGTTTTCATCATCAGAAGAGCTGGCATCGGCTAAGGTGATTGAGTGCCTTTGAAAGCAACTTCGAACAAGCCTTGTGACTCTGCACTCGTTGGACCTCGCCTGAGAGTGAGACAGGGAAACCCAGTTTGAAATTCTTGGACTAATCGGGGCCGCTGTCTCTAAGCACTTTTTTCACGTCGGACCTTGAGAATTGACGACATCAGTCATCACTCACCTTAGCTTGGGGAAGGAAACCTTAAAGAACATCAAATCATCAGAGATCAAACTTAATTGGTGATATCAAAGTGCATGGCTTGAAGAAAGGTGGTGCTCCGTTCATGAGAGGCGGTTCTGTTCCATGTTAGCTAACCTCACAGGTTATGTATAACTTATGCTAAGGGAAGCCACGCTGGCCGTTAGGCCCGCGCGTGCGAACCATTCACATTGCATCATGAGCAAAAGGCAAAGAAACGGACTAAACGAAGACCCCGTTTAAGGGGGAGGAGGTGGAAACCTAATAATATTGTAAGTGAAACTGAAAGGAAAATTATAAAAGACCGAAGAACTAGCGGCCAATTGTCATGACATAATGATACGTGTCGTGGTAACATCACGTTGTATGAGAGCATGTCTAACTTAACATAAAGAACATTGAAATTATGAATACACGCACATTGCAGTTACCAAGGTGAAGTTGAAGAGAAAGAAAACACATCTATACATAACTAAATTTTTCCATATTCTTATTGATATGTTCACACGAGCTGAACGATACCAGAGTTGAGGAAAAGAAAAAGAATATTCATTTTTTTAAGAAAACCGCCCGTATGTTGAGAGACGTAGCCGGCTCACATGATATGGAGTGGGAGATAGGGACTCCGACTACAAAAGCTAGTAGATGAGGGAATAGGTGTGCTAGATCTAGTGAGCGCCGGGTTGGTGTGCTGTGGGAAGTGAGGAATTTGTCCATCTTGTTGTGAGGTGGAACTGAGCCGGACTGCGTTGGATGCACTTCTACGCTTGCTGAGGTTGGGGAAAGGCACTGTAGACGAGGTAGCTTT